TCTGACGACTAATGGGAAGTGCAGTAGAAAGTGTTCTGGTTTCGTCATCGTCATTATTCGGATAAACAAAACCGTATGTTTACAGAGTGACACAAATAAACAGCCAAGTAGTCCAGTCAATTAGGAAACAAAGTAAGAGGCAACAAAAGAAGATGTGCCGTAGTAAGAATGACTTGAAAATATGAAAGGTAAGGTCGTTAAAAACATCCACTCACTCTGTTTTTGCTTATATGCTTGTATGCCTAGTTCAATGCTTCAAACGGAAGTGTACATGTCCTGTGATTGTTTGCCCGACAATGTCGTCTGCCCAAACGTTGAAAAGCGCTGTTTGTTGTCTTCATCTTTTTACTGCAAGTATACTTGTAGAGTCCACTGCACAAATGATGTCATCATCAGTATACCACAGGCCATCACAGGTAGAGAAAGATAAAAAAGCTGGAAACATNTTTTTGCTTATATGCTTGTATGCCTAGTTCAATGCTTCAAACGGAAGTGTACATGTCCTGTGATTGTTTGCCCGACAATGTCGTCTGCCCAAACGTTGAAAAGCGCTGTTTGTTGTCTTCATCTTTTTACTGCAAGTATACTTGTAGAGTCCACTGCACAAATGATGTCATCATCAGTATACCACAGGCCATCACAGGTAGAGAAAGATAAAAAAGCTGGAAACATTAACCAATAATTGGTTTCAAGTAAAACAAAAAAATTAAATTACTAAGTTCTTATGATTGATTCTTTTGTCGATGATGAAATCATAATTAGTTGACAGTGCTAGGGTCAAGTCAATCAATCGAACTAGTTTTCAACAGTGAACATGTGAATGAAAGTTTTAAAGTAATCAAATGCTACAAGACTTTCCTCGGTCACTACATTAGTTTTGAGTAATCTTGTGTCTTAATCGGCAGAGCAGCGTTTAACTGAATGAAAGTTAAATGGCAATAATTTGATTTGAATTACCGCATTTGATAATACTGCTGATGTCCACTTTACCCGCTCACAAACAGTGCAGTAATAAGCAGACAAATTGATGACAGTGCTCTGCAAGAGCAAAATGGCTCAGCAATTGGAGCAGCAACTGCTTTTTCAAATTGTTAGCGCAAATCCGCAATAGGAAATTTGAAAGAGAAAGAAAGTTGTGTGGTCGAGAAATGTTTAAACACAGCGCACTAGACTTTTGATAAAAGTTTAGAGATAAACTTGGTGACAAGTTGGGAAAAAGTTGCGGATACAAAGATGCTAATTACGATTGCTTTGCAAATCAGGAGGACACAATTTTCTTTAACAGGAGATACGATGCATACTGAGTCTTACGCTGAAATTTTCAGTTGAAAAATTATTTAATCACTAGTTTTTTTGTTTTCAAGTTTTTGTGTTATTGCAAAAATAGTTTGTGCAACTATACAATCTTTTTGACATTTAAAAAATAAAGTCAGCAATAGAAAAATTTTGTCGCTCATCAATTTTCATTAATTAACGATAATTATAACAGTTTATGTTTTCGAACTGATCGGGTGACTTTCTTTGTTGTGCAAAACCAATGAAAGGTGTTTTGCATGCATTTATTCAGCAAGTAGTCCGTCACGGAGCATTACCATATGCTTAATTATCCGGCACAGGTAAATGAATAGTCAAATGTTTTGATTTATGATATTGTAGTTGGTGATAGTTTGTCTTTGTCAACATCAATTAAATTAATAATTTATTTAATCAATACTAATGCATGTACGAAAATATAAATATAGACGTCCTTTAGATATAGAAAAAGGAGGCAATTTAGCTTAGAAAGCTGTCAAGTCGGCGAAGATGACGATCGAGGTGTGGGCGGTGAGAAAGTGCGCGTTTGAAGTGAGCGGGAGGCATTTTGGGATGCGGCCATCGGTAACCAGAGCAATACTTCTGGGTCATGCGTAGGGGAGCTGTGGGTGTGAAGTGTACAACCGAAGTAACAAACAGGTAACAACATCAAATATGGTACAGAGTAGAGGATAACAAAGAGTGCGCAAGGGTACTGATGAACGAAAGACAGCGCAGGAGTTACAGTTCAATCGTAACCAACTCACTCAAATACAGAGAGAAAGAGAGAGTTACAGTCCGTCGGTGTGAAAAAGAGAAAAAGTTGAACAGGTGAGACTTTTTGGGACACGCTGAGACACCGTTTGCTTTAGATAGCTTAACAACGCAGACTGTGCCTGGTGGTGGTGTGAAGGTGGATGCCGTGAACGGAAAACCCATGACGGAATGTTGACGATGGACGATCACAAGGGAAGGGATGAAAGTGAAGAGGTGAATGTGTGTGTGAGTGTTTGCTTGTGTTCTGCAAAGGAGAGAGTGCAAGTGAGGAAGAATGTATTATGACGCAATAATAAGGCATTCATACCTGTTGGTAGTGTAGTCAAAAACAAAATCACCGAGCTGATGTGCACCAAGATTAAAGATGATTGTCTGTGCACTCTTATGACCCACGAGCTGATATTGAGAAAAACAGTTCAGCCGAGGGAGTATTTCTGCTACTCCATGTAGGTGATCAGTTTGTAAAAACGTGTAATAAAATTTGTTTCCAAACATGCAAACGAATAAAATAAAAGTGACTGAGATAAAAATATGTATGAGAGCCTTGGGATAGTAAGATCTATGTAAAAGGTTGACAATCCTTCAAAATGGCACATGACTGAGAGAGTGTGTAGATGAGTGAATGTGTGTTGTGAAATATATTTTTCTAACTTTTAGAAATGCTTTCAACAGGCAATACACAAGAGTTAATGTGCAACAAAAGACAGTGAAAGCAAGCAATACAAGAAATAAAGATTTAAAGATAAAATGGGGAAACTAAATAAAAACGCTGTAAAAGAGAGTTCCCTACGAGAGATGCTAGTTTTGTTGGTTGAAAATAAAATCGTGTAAAGATGAATGAGGTGAATTGAATGAGAGTAAGGATGAATGAATGGCTTGTATCACAATCGAATCGCATCTGGGTGATTGCATGATTTACCCCGTTTCGCCAAAATCAAAGTCGCACAGTTCATCACCGCCGCAAAAAATAAAGATCATCACTGTTTAGGACTTGTTGGAGTGGTGTTGGTGGCGCCCGTTTGGGTCCCCTTCACCAATCGTGGTCTGACCATTGTCCAGTTTGTTATTTGTACTGTTTTCGCAAGGTGCAGATTTCTCACTATTTGAAGCAATTGTGCCACTTTTGGTGATAGTGGCTACGGTGTTGGTCGAATCGCCATTGCCATTGCGCTCACCATTGGAATTGGAGCGAAGTAAAGTGCTACTCCCTCCAAATCGACCTTCTTCAGCAGTCAAAGAGCCGGTGTTACTTTTGCCGTAATGTGGGTTGGTGTGCTGAACAATCACTTGCTGCAGTTCCAGCTTTGCCAGCTCCTTTTGTGAGCGTTCCAGTGTTCGTAGTGATGCAGCCAAACTGCGACAGAAGGACATTTCTTCGTCCTCCAACTCGCCAATTGTTTCCACTACAACCTGCTTGATGACATCTCGCAGCTCAGGACACTCTGTCGGCGGTTTACCAGAGAAAGCAACTTTTCCAAAGGACAGTGAAGAGTTGCTGGCAAACTGTGAAGATGTCTGGTGCAGCATTGGCGATGAACTGGAAGCTGCAGAAATGCTGGCAGCATTGACAAGACTGGCATTGTTGAGAACATAAGTGCTTAGAGCAGCAGCAGCAGCAGCTCCGGAAGCGACTGAAACTGACTGCTCGAGAGAGCTGCTGCTGTCCAGTGTCAGCGTAGTCGAAGACGACGGCACCGGAGAGTGTTCTTTTGATGTCAACAGAAAGAGAGAGTTCTTGCGAGCTGCCGGAATTGGAGTGGACTGCATCGCAACTGGAGACAGCTGACTTCGACAGGTGCCGCTTGGGGCACTGATGGCAGCGACCCCGTTTGATTTGCTGCCACCAGCACTTCCACCCGCAGCCCCGACAGCAGTGCCCACCGGAGGCGACGTAAATGCACTGGCTGGAAGGTTGTTTGGATTATAGAAGTTAATTGAAACCCCGGGAGGCAGTGCAGCGCCCGAGAACTGCGACAGGTGCAGCGGAACCGGAATGATCTGCCCGGTGGGCGATGCTAGATGGCGGTGAAGGTCGTTCACCGAGGCAGCGTCACCTTTGAGTCGGTTCAGCGAAGCTGGCGCCGCTACAGAGGCCGGGTGGTTGGCGTAGATCACTGAGTGGGTGGAAGTGAGTGGTGAGTGGTTAGGGGCGATCGTCGCAATGGAAGCACCAGACAAAGTACCGGGTCGTTGAGCAATTGAAGTTGTAGATAGAATGCGACTGTTGAGAATGTTCACTGCGTGTTAAGGAAATGGCCAAATTGTTAGCATCAAAGCAAGTTTAAAGCTGCTATACAGCTTGATCAACACAAAACATACTTGCTCCGTTGGGGTGTGTCAGAATTGTGCCACCATTTACAGCAGTCGCATTGCCGTCAGAAGAGTTTATTAAAATCACATTTTCTTCATTTTGGTGGCTGTTCAGGTGATGGTTGACAATTGAACCCGTTGAAGTGTTACAGGAGGAAAGACTGGAGAGCAGAGCTCCATGACTGACGCCTTCGAGCTCGGAAGTGTCCATCAACTGCGGACGAGTGGTGGCTGCCGTAGTGTAGGCAATCAACTTAGAAGTGCCTCTGCCTCCGCTTCCATCGACAAGCTCGATTTCGTGGCCATTGTTGAGACCATGTGTGGACAGGGATGCAATGGGATCAGTTGAAGAGGAGTCCTCATTGTGGTGGCCATTGCCGTCTGACTCTAGCTTAATTCGGTCTACGTTCGCAAGAAAGAGCATGTTCTGGTAGTGGCGCCACTTGGAGACATAGCCGCTCGCTGATGGCTGATCAGGAGGATCTCCAGGGCGTTGAGCCGTCGATTGTGTGACTCGTTTATGTTCACGAAAAAAAGTCGTTCGCAAGTTTCGATATTTTTCGTAAACATCTTTCCCTAAAACAAACAGCAATGTTTACTATGAGCACATGCTAACAAATGGTTGCTGCTAGTAAACTTACTGGTCAAGTTAAGACCTTTCGCAATGTTTTCCAGCTTTGTCGTCCTTAACATGCGATTGTTATAGTCTTTGTCCTTGGTATTCCACAGTGATGGATGGTCACGAAAGTACTGTATCAGCTCCTTCTCCTGATCAAAGCTAAGACGACTCATCGTTGTTCAGGTTGGTGCGATAAATCTTTCAGGTATAAAACCAGGTTGGTTACTATTTAGTAAAAACGCAAAGAGCACTACAACTTACCACAAAGAATGAGAAATTGCAAAATAGGTTTTGATTTAACTAAACATTTGTTTGCTTGCAGTTTCAGAGTAGATTTTGAAAGATGCATGCGCTTTGTTGATTTTTGTTTCAAATTCTTGAAAACATGCAAAAGAAACTTAAATATACTGGATTTTGAGATGAGCTGAACAACAGTGAATCAAATAGCCATATCACTTAAATTTTGACATCGTGTTTTAGTTAACCAACTAAAAGGCAAAATTTGTACTTTCCAAATAATCGATTTTTTCAAGAAAGACACGTTTTGGCGGTAAGTGGACGGTTGGTTCAACGGATCACAATTGCGTGCATTTCTTCTTTTTGCGGGCATCAACTATCAGCAGGCGGACACTGAAAGCCAACAAATGTGTCTGGTAAGAAGGTTGTGGTAGATGACGACAGAGACGTGAATGTACGTAAAGCAGCAGACTTTTTTAAAATGTCAAATCAAGTTAATTAGTTTAAACACACAAATATTAAATTGTGAAAAAAGGCAAACAAAAAATAATATTATACAAAAAATAACAAAACCAAACTTATTTTCTAATAATAAAAAAAATCTTGATCTAAAACGAATATCTTTTGATTGCTGCTAAAAAATTAACATTCTTTTCTTCCAGCTTTCTGATATTAACTCGCTAATTTTTAAACTGATTTTTAATTAAAAAAACATTTTATTATTGTTAAGCTAATAAATCAAAAGTTTTGTTTTTAGAAAAACTACTATTTAATTTTGATTTACTAAACTTTAAAATCAACTTTTTAACAAATTAAAAACAAACTCATAAATGCAAATTTTTGCTTTAGTTAAGGATGCTAGCACCAATGTAAAAAAATTTGAATATCATGTCTAATCTTACCTTTTTATAGTTTTTTCTGCACGATGCATGAGATGTGAATGAGATGAGAATCTCAGGTACCGGTAAAAATGATTAGAGGGTGTTGCTGAAAGACAAGTTGACGTGAATTCTACAATGACATAAAATTAGCATTTCAATAATACTGATAAGTTTTTATAAATTCTTACTTGATGATAAAATGCAAAATGTTTAATGATAAAATGGTATAATGAAAGAATAAAGTTTTCTGTAAAAGGCCACAGTGGTGATTGTGAGTGCACTTTATTGCAGGTGTCTGCAAAAAGTTGGCCGTCTCCAGTTTAACACTTGATGTTTAGATGCATCGCTTTGCTTTGAAGTAACCAGAATTTCAGCACAGGAAAAGCATTATGCATCAATTTTTGTTCAAGT